TTTTTTTTTTTTTTTTGGTACTAGGGATCAAACTCAGGACCTTGTGCTTGCGAGACAGGCGCCGGAACCACTGGGCTAAATCCCTGGCCCATTGGACTTTTTGATTTTAACTGAAAATTTGTATTGTTTTATAGAGCCCCTTGTATGATCTCTGATATTTTTTCCCTAACATCTATTTTGTCTTTTTATCATAGGGTTGTAGAGGATATTGCTTCTTTTATTAGGTTACTATTTGCCTATATTTCTTCATAGAACCTTTAAGTTTAACGCTACTTTGCTGAAGGGATTTGGCTGCCCGTCTTCTAGCTGGCAAATTGAGTACATTTATATTAACTGTGTTTACTGATATCTGAAAATTTGTTTCTAGCAACTCACTTTGTGATTTATATTTGTAAGAATATTTGGATTCTTCATTTTTCTCCATTTATTTTCAGATGTTTCTTGGTTTGCTTTTAAATAATTTTTCTGTCTACTTTTGACTTATGGACATTATTTCTATTTATTTAATAGCTACTCTTAAATTACTAACACACGTGTAGCTTCATGAAATCTAAAATTAACCGAGATTTTTACACTCATCCTAAATAATACAAAGACTTGAAATATGTAAATGCCTCTGGAGTCTTATAAGATAAATGCTAGGGATATTTAGAATTCTAACATTTTTGCAAAAGCTGTACTTCTGAAATTTAAAGCACTGTGAAGTAAAAATAAATTCAATTTATTCAACACCAAGGAAGGGCATAATCTTTAAAGAAACGGCTCCAGAAATAGAATTTAAAATTGAAACCTAGATTTTTTTCTAATTATTTTTCCTATGATCTTTTTTCTTTTAAATCTTGTATTTTATGAAATTTCAAACAATTCTGATTGTTTCAAAGATTAAACATGATTTTCCTTATTTGTTCTTGCCAGAGTTGCATTATGATATTGATTATAGTCCATGAGTAACCACCCACGTGTCTGGAAATGAACAAAATCATTCAGAACAAAGTAAAAGCCTGGAAGCCATAAAAGAAGTTTCTGAGCTATACCAACAAGGCAGGAAAACAGAAAGAAATAAAAAATCACTCTTATTAAAAAAGAGAAACTTAAAATCTTCCTAACTTAGGGGTTTATCATCTCACAATCTCCATAGCAAAGTACCTCCAAATAAATATTTCATTGTAAACCAGAACATTGTGCCCATTTTAAATAGGTGGAAAAACCAGTTTTCCATGATTTAGAAAGGCAGGGACCACAATGACATTGATGTTTAGTAGGCAATATTGAGGATTTTATAAAATAGGTGCATAATAATACTTCTGTGAAAGGAATTTGTACTCTTTGCTAGGTGTGAGGGGACAAATGATGCTGAGGTACAGTGGGTTGAGACCATCCGTGGGTTGAGACCATCACAGATGAGAAAAATTTGTTTTACACATCTCAGTAAACTGGGAGTGGCAAAATAATCTAAGTAACTTGGAAAAAAATAAATGAAACAGACTTAATCAGTATATTTAAAAGTTGTTTTAATCAAAAGTGCTATGGGGGTTGTCATGCTTTTTATTTCCCTAGGGCTATGACACATTTTCCAGTAGTGCTCAATAAAAGACATGTGAATTAGGGCAGATGTACAATTTTTAATAGCTACAGGTTCTAAACCATTTGACATTTAATTTGACATTTAAGTTTCTGACAATACCAGAAACATGTACTTAGATACTTACTTAGATGTACAAAAATAAACTTGAATAAAATTCTCTCTTATTAAAGTTGCTGATAGAAAAAAAGTTAGTGAAACACTTCAGTCTGTTTCAGTTACAACAGAAGAATGTAATCTCACTTTTCAACCTTAGGAAAGGTACTTTTTATTACCGAAGAAGGATATCCATCTGAAATAAAAGTGGCCTAGCATTTTCTGGTATCAGAGTGACTAATATGCACTATAATAATACATGGTCCTGGATTCTTACAACTCTCCTTCTTCATTAAAAGCCATACTTGCCAGGCATGGTGGAGCATGCCTGTAATTCCAGTACTCTGAAAGGCTGAGGCAGGAGGATTACAAGTTGCAGCCCAGCCTGGGCAATGTAGCAAGATCTTGTTTCAATTTTTTTTTTTTTTTGAAAAGGAGCTAGGATGTAGCTCTGTGTGACAGTCCTGGGTTTCATCTTCAGTACGATGTGTGTGTGTGGGATACTTAATTTTAAAAGTACATTATTTCAGTCAACTATTTTTGAAAGTGAACATTTTTTTCTTTCTTCAGTCCTATTTAAAAAACTGTTTGAAAATATTTTACTCATGTCTTCTTTAAGACCAGTAATTATGAATCTGTTCTAATGAAGTGTTTGAAAGGTTTGACTATTTAGTTTAAACATTTACCATTTTTCTTAAAATTTTAATAGATAGGATAGGCAGAAAATTTGGAAACCACAGAAAAGCATTTTAAAAATCCCTCAAATCACTGGGACATTTTCCTCATTATTTCCTGGATCCAAAACTAATTTCAGGGTACAGTTCTTTGGCAGTGTTTTATCTGGTCCCTAGAAGGGAGTTCTAGAAAAGATGGGCTGGTACAAGCTGGACCGATTAGACTAAGTCTATCCATTACACATAATAGACACAGTGTCCAGGGCCAATGATACTTCTAGGGACCCACAAAATATTTTCAATTTTAGTTTCTTAATCAGAAGAAAAATGACATTAATAATAACAATATACTATTGAATCCAATGTAGGCATAAAGTATAATTCTTAATATTGTTTTTTGGAGGAAGGAACCAAGGGCGGTAGAAGTACCCAGGACCCATGAAAGTAGTACGGCAACCTGTGGATGACATTGGTGTACAGGTGATAACAGATTGACTGGAGCCTAGCCAATGAAAAACTGACTAAAGGCTGAAAATGAGAAGTCAAGGAGGGCCTGAATGACTTGAACTGACACAGTGTGTGACTTTTGGCTTACAGTAGGGCTTCAGGAAGAGAATTCTAGTAGGGAGGTAAAAAGCTAGTTGGTATTAGAAGTAGGATACTCAAAAGCCTTTTGCACTGTTATGGATAAAGGTTAAAGTGATTACAGAAAGAAGAATGAGAAAAGATGGATATTACAAACATTCAGGCAAATAGGTACCCACGCGGTTTAGATCTTAGGAAGAAACGTTTTCTTTCCCTGAAATCCCCAAAGTCATAATTATAGATTTGTAGTCTCTCTAAGTTCCCCAAGAGGTGGAGTTGTGCCAGTCTTATTCTTAGGGCATTGATCAATCAAGACAACAAGAGATTTAGCTCTTGGAAAGGTGTGCAGTCTATTGTAAGCAGCCCTGTGTCACTGACCAGACCATCTCACTTATGAAAGCAAGTGCCCACAGCCGGAGGGTTCCACAAGTGATTGATTATTCTGCAGAACTGAAGTAACAACACTTATCTTAATTACAACCTATTTTAAAGTTAATTTTAAATGATTAATTTTTTTCTAAATTGAGAGATCTCTTCTTGTATTCTCTAATCATTTAAATGTTATATTTATTGACCATCACAACTCATATATTTATATGTACCATTAATTCCTGCCATATATAGAGAAAGTGACAATTACATAAAACCAGATACTACTTTGCATAGAGTACACCTGTGTTTTAGGTGCTTTGCTGAGCTTTCTAAGTGAGTAGTTCATACACTTAGGCTTCCCCTTGTGCTAAAAATGCAAAAAGAATATGACATATAATGACATAATGCTGGGGGCTAGGGAGGCTAACTTAACAGGAAGATTAAAGCAAAACTTTCCGAGGAGAGGGGACTTTATATCATCTGGAAAGAGGAAATGCTACCCAGGTAGATGAAAGCAGAAGAGCGTGCACATCTTTGAAGTCAGAGGAATTAGACTTGTATTTTAAAAACTGTGAACCTTTTGGATTATCAGTTACCTTATCTGTGGCAATTGACGGTCATGTTTTGTATCACGCTTAGCTATTTTCCATGTTCAGTAAAAAAGATACATATTTTAAAAACAGCATAAAAGTTATTAATGTCCTGATGCTGATAAGAGATGAAATACTCTCCATGTAGTTTTGATGCTTAAATTAACTGCCTGTTTTTGAGAGTGTCTTTCTTGGAGACAGAAGAATGAACTGAGTGAATAGTCCAGAAGCTTCTAAACTCTGGTGCTTTGATTTAATACCTTGAGAAGTATGGAGAGTAGTTAACACTTAAATCACTGAGAATGTATTTAACATTCTATAAAAGAAACATACTTTTGTAGTATCCCTTGCAAACCATAAAAAAACGTAGTTCTACACTATGATTGGAAAACTGAAAAGTCATCAAAATATAACTATTAAACTGGTCATTCTTAGAAGCGTCCATGAATTTTATTAAGAGGATTCCTGAAGGCAATTCAAGGCAGAATTTTCAGAATTGGTTGGAGAGCAGCTGAATTGTCTTCCCACTGGGGCTGTCTTCCAAGGCGGGTGCGAAGGCAGGGAAGGCATAAGCTGGTGTTGTTACTCGCCAGGTTAAAGGTCTGTTTCTTTCCATCAGCTCAAGCTGACAGGCACCCTGCCATCGCCTCCGCCTCAGCCAGGCACACAGGTCCTGGCCGTCAGCGCGAGAACATCTGTTGAATGGATTTATTGACTGGGTTTTGTTTTTTTCTCTCCCTTTCTCCGTTTTCCCCCTTTTTCCTCCACACCGTTTATTATGTCTCTGACCTGATGAACTTAATTTGTTGACATGTCTCTCTCAGCGTCTCCGCCGACGTGCGTCTCACGTTTCTCTCCACTGTGCTCTTTTCTCCGCAGCAGCCCTTCCCGGAGCCCGCGCACACGCGTGCGCCCTCGGCGCGCCAGGCCCCGCCGGCCTCGGTGGGCACCGACGCCCTGGAGAAGCCCCGGCTGCTCTCGCGGGCGCACTCCTCCCCCGCCGCCTCCGTCCTACCCTACCCGGCAGCGGACCGCCCCCTCCAGCCTGGCTCTGCGACTGGTAGGAATCCCTAAAGGCTCTCCTAATAGGCAGGCTAAATGCACCGTTCTTGTAGGATTAGCCGATTTAAATGCTCCGAATAACTCCAATAGCAGAACGCTCTGTTTTCACCCAATGCAACCAAATGTTATGGGGTTATACTGGCCCCAAGACGAACAGCATATCTGATAAATCTTGGGCTTAGTATTTAATAGCCTCATAAATTGTTATCATCCAAGCGCCTGGAAAACACATCAACAGGTGCATGAGTCCCTTCTAGAGATAAAAATCCCTACAACATTCTCTAGCAGCGTTCTTCAACCTCTTACCTTCTAGGAGTTTGGCTGCTAGGCAATATATGGTTCTTGGCTTCTTCATTTGACTCTGGCCAGTGTCCTTTCCTCAGTTTGTTTTCTTGTTGTTTTGTTTCAATGCTTTCTTCTGCCTTCCTACACAAATGACTCATGAGAGTTAATAGTACCAAGGCAAACCTTGCTGATTCTATGTACTATGTTGGTTCCCTTTCCGTTTATTAGGGCACCTGTAGGTGGCCTTTTTGCCCAATCTCACCCACTACCTACAGCTGCGTTTAACACTTTAGAACCTGGCTACCAAAGAAAACAAGCCAAGTATTTCTAAGGCCAGAGGAAGGTCAAGTCTGGAACACATGCCAACAAATAAAAAGAAGCAAGACCTCTGGGTATTAGATAGGTACTACCAGTTGAGTGTGTGTGTGTGTGTGTGTGTGTGCGTGCACACGCACGCATGATATAACCTTTGCAAAGGTACTAGCTGAACTAGTGGTAGTAATTATTCCTATTCGTCTGCTTGTTCTAGTTCTGTGTTCTCAAACTGTAGCTGATCAAATGGAAGATATAGTCGCCCTAAGAGACACATAACCTAGATACAGCAAGGGGAGAACTCATATGTACCTTCCCCAAAGGCTCTTACACGCTATCTGATTTATGTTTTAATCAATTTTCAGGATGCAGAGCTTGTTTTTGTGGCTTCTCTGAACTTAGGCAAGCCTTTGTGCATGGAAAATTAAAATACCTTTTTGGAAATCATGTCTCCAGGCTTTGATATCATCTTTTATTTAAGTCAGTGAATGCAGTGGGCAAGTTATTTAAATGTGATAGGCACCTTTAATAAGTGTGCACAGGAGCTACTTTTACCCTATCTCAAACCTTAAGAGCTACAGGCTGGGTGTATTTCTCCACCACATTAGCCAGCGCTTCCCATCTTTCTGTTTCTGCAAACCTGCCTGATATTTTTGACAACGCAAGACTGTGGCCTACGGTCAATGAAAGCCTTTGGGATTAGTCATGCCTGGTGCTGACCTTAGGTTACCAAGTTTGTGTTCAAAGCCACACACATGATATAGAGGAATATATATTTTTTAATTTAGCAAAATCTTTAACACTTACATACTTTTCAATACTTTTTTTCCCTGAAATGGTCATTTATTCAGCTTTAACATTTCAAAGAGACTAACAACAGTTCTATGATAATGCTTTTCCAGTGAGTAAAATAAATGCCCTAATTAAAAATTGAGTTTAATTATAAAGTTTCATGTTAATGTTACTACATGCACTGTTAGCTATATTTGTAATTCTGCAGACAGGATTTCTTTCCTTAGTTTGGAGGGATAGGCATTTCCTAGCATACTTTAGTTTTCTCCACTTTTTGCAAGTTTTTTGGGATGTGAATGAAGCAAGACCACTGAGTATTAGATAGGTACTACCAGTTGGAGAAAAAATCATTTCCAGGTAGATAGGGTGTGTAGGACTTAGAAAAATCGGGTGAGCCAGTCATAGGGGTCCACTCTACTGATGTTGAAAAAGGATGCAAATTTGAGCCACATGACAACTTACTGAGTCTCTCTTAAGACTAAAGCCTAAAAAATGGCTTGGAAAGGCCTGGGTTCAATCCTCACTACCAAAAGAAAGGGGGGAGGAAGGGCAGGGAAAGGGGGAAGGGAAGGAGATGTAGAATCGTTCAGGAAAAAGGGTAGTCTGTAAACCTAATAATATAACCATAATATTCTCATAACCTGAATCTGATTATTCAAACTAACGACAGGACCATTTCAGATAAGTAATTTCTCTTATCAGCATCCTAGTGTTTATCAGAGCACATATTCCAAAACAAATGGGAGGGTGAGTTTATAGTTTAATGGATCTGATGAAGCAATTTCTTATCCAAATAAGATTATATACATTTATATTTTAAAAGACAGAGATTTGGTACTTAATAGCATTCAATAGGTTTTAGCTAAATCAGTAAATATAAATTACATAGTAAACACTTATGAATTTACTACTTCTGATTGTATTGAAAGTGAAAATTACTTTCTAGTTATTATTCTGCTAAAGAATGACTGTGTGGTTTATATTATATATACCTGAATAAGGAAAATACGTTTATTTTCTTTGAATTTAAAGAAAAATGCTTTATTTTCACACCTAAAATCTTATAGGAAAGAGCATAATAATTTTTTGAAAAAGTTATATAAAACATAAAATTTATATTACTAGCCCCTCCTCTGAAGTTAATATACATATGCATATATATGCATGCATATATACATATATATACATATATAGACACAGACATATAGCATTGTGTTTATGTAAGGTATGGATAATTAAGGAAAGGGCAATGTGTTTATTTTCTTTGTCAAAGTTGTCTCTTCTATTCAGCTGTTACTGACAAACATAAGATTTGACATGGCTCAAGAGAAAACAGCCAGTAGATGATGACACTGTGTTAGTTGATACGAAATAGTATTCATCAAAACAAAAAATTAATGTTAATAAATTTGATTAGTTTTGAAATGTTCCCTATCACCAGTATAAAGTTTTCTTTCTCTCAACACTAGGTTACTCTACATAATACATGTATATAAATTATTTCTTTATAATCAGAGTCTAATGTAAAATAGAATTATAGTGGTAAAAACTATACTAATTTAATGAAAATATTTAAAAATCAATATTTAATGTGTGACTGGCCCATCACGATGGAAAGTGAAATATGCTTGAATATTTCAATGTGAGGACAGCAATGTTAACCTTTTTCTCCATTTCTTCTTAATGGAAGATGTTTTCCTAAATCAAAACTAACTCCAGCTAATCCTTAAATGTTTCAGGTTTTAGTTTAAATGTTATTTTCTTCAGGAAGCATTTCTTAGCCAAGTAAATCTGAACTAAATCTATTATGGTCCCTTAGACTGAATTTTTCTGTTATAAATTTTAATTATTTATATAATTGGGTGATTGTGTTTCAATGAATAGTCTATGAAGCAAGAGACTTTTCTGTTCTTTTTAAAAGTTATTACCGTAAAACACATATTACCATTAATCCCTCTCAAAATACTCCCCTTTATTTCAAACACACTTATTTCATCATCCTTGACTTTCTGAAGCAGTTCTGGAAGTCCTCTTTCATGAGTGTCTTTAGTTGTGCTGTTGTGGCTGCCTCAGTGTTCTGAATTGATTCAAAACGTTTATCTTTCATGGCCATTTTTACTGTATGAAAGAGCCAGACATTACACAGTGCCATATCTGGTGAACAAGGTGAATGAGGACACACCATAATGTTTTTATTTGACAGAAATTGCAGAAATATTTTGAAGCATTTCAAGATATTGAGGCAGCCATGAGAAGGCACTCAAGAAAGTGGATTTCCAGAACTTCTTCAGAAAGTGGCAAGAATGATGGGATAAGTGTGTTAGAAGAGAAGGCGAGTATTTTGAGGGGAATTAATGGTGATGCATCTTTTACTGTAATATATTTTTTAAATTTAAATATTCACAGTATCTTTTAATTACACCTAGTATGGTTGTGCGCATGGGTTTGTGTGTATGTGCTTGTGTGTTTAAGACTTGACAGAGGAACTTCTGTTACTACCTCTAAAAGAATGATGGTTAGTTTCTTTTTATCAGTAATCTATTTTTTAAAACTACTGTCCTCAGATATTTGTATTTGAAGTTTCTCCTGAAAAATCTTCAAAATTTGAATCTGATTCTCATGGAAGATGATGGACAGAAGTGTCCTGTTGGGCTGGCGATTTAGCTCAGTGGTTCCGCTGTCTGCCTCGTAAGCACAAGGACTGAGGAGTTTGATCCCCCGTACCAAACAAACAAACAAAAAACAAATAAACAAACCAACCAAAAAGAAGCATCTCATTTATTTAGGAGATTAAGTCAACTTGACCATATATATTATTATCAAAATATATATTATCATATATGTATTTATACTTATATATTACATATACTATTTATATATACTTTATACATATTATATACACACAAATATTTTTTGGGTGAAGAGGTATCTTTTCATACCTGAAAATGTCATCCTATTATAGTCCTATACCATGGACACAAACGTATTGGGACATAAGTTTTTGTTTGAAAAGTCTGGAAATGTGGTTCAGTGTTCGAGAGAGTTATCATAGAAGTCTGAGGTCTACTTGATAAGTGACTCTTTGTGGGCAGCTTGCTTTTTCTTTTTTTTTTCCTGAAAGGTCATGGTGTAGCTTTTTACCCTATTAAATTAAAAGACAAATCATCTCCGTAATGTGCACTTGCAGTTTCTCCTCGCATGTCTCTTTCTACTTTGGGGAAGCTTCTTCAATTATTCCTATTATTCAGTTGGTCTGAGGAGAAGTCATATAATTTTTTCTTCAGCTACTTTTTCCTCTAACCTCCACAGTTCATCTTACTGTGCTCACCTCTTAGCCTTTTCCTTCATATTGCAAGAACTTATCAAGTTTGTATTTAGCACTGATCTGATTTTCTGAAACATAAATTCTTTTCTTTGTTCTCTCCAGTATAGAATTTAATTTTGCTACTCTAATTTTCTTGGGATTCCTACTTAACCATCTTTCTTTCTACTCATTCCATTGTCTTTTTCATTTATTTTGATCTCTTCCTTTATCTTTTGACTTTTATTTTTATCAGGTCAATGTCTTTTGACTTTTGAAGATGGCAAAGCTTTTTTATAAAATTTTAT